TCGTTAGGTGGCGACTCTTCTCTTTTAACACCAATTTAAAAGAGTTGTCACATGTCAAAACCCACTTTCATGAGAAAATGGAGCGCGACAGTGGTAATTGTCTTCTTGTTGGATTATTGACGTTGAAGTTGTGAAAGATATTATCACCTTGAGGTTGAAGTTGTTGATTCTTGAGATATCTTTTCTTGTTGAGCATTTCTCATTCGTTTTGTCATTATTGAGATTCTTGTACATGTGGTGATTGAGTCTTGGGCTATTCGTTGTAAAAATATTGGTATTGTTGATTTTGGCAAGTTATGACATATGGACACTTGTGGTGCGAGTTGTTATTGTATTGTAATATTGATACGAACGCGGTGGTATAAAGATTGGGGTTGATACTCATGTGGTGGTATAAGGATTTTGGTTGATATGCATGCAGTGATATAAGGTGGGCATGAAATGCGTGTTGCTAGTAAAGGAATTACTTGAAGCTACGCGGTGAGATAAGGTGGGCTAAAACATATATAGCTATTTATAAAAAATCTTTTTTTAAAACTAAATGTAAGGTTCACGCGGTGATATAAGAAAAGAATCTGATTGAAATTATAAAATGTGAATGCGAGGCGGTACCTCGGCTGTGATTACTTATGATTCTCATTATGTGTTCCCTTCTTGTTGCCCTTTTGCTTTAAACTCTGTTATTAGCTCATGTTATTAAAGTGCTTTGTTATTATTCATTCTCCGCTTTCCGTTACTTGCCTTTATCATATCTTGTTACATTTTATCTTGTCCTAGTAGATGTCTTGACCTGGCCTTGTCACTACTCTACCAAGGTTAGGCTTGATACTTACTGGGTACCGTTGTGGTGTACTCATACTACGCTCTCCATATTTTTATGCAGATCTAGGTATATATGCCCGTTTTAGACACCAGTGATTGATTTGTTATCTCCGAAGACTTCAAGGTACACCTGCTAGACGTTCACAGGCCTTGAAGTCACCTTATGCTTTAGTTGTATTACTGTATTTCAAGACTATTAGTACACTCTTGTAGAGCTTATGACTCGGTTCCACCAGGTTTTGTGGATTTTTTTTTACAGTTGTACTGTTTGGGCTTTGTTATGATAGTTTAATAGTTTTAGTTTGATGTTAAGTTATCACTTTTGCTATTTCTCAATGCATATTAGGCTTACCTAGTCTTAGATACTAGGTGTTATCATGACATCCTAAGGTGAAAAATTGGGGTCGTAGAATTGGAATAGGTCCATTTTGTCATTTCTTACTTGTCTGCAAAATTTGGTATCATTCCAAGGTTATTTAATAGGAATCAGACACGTGGTTGTGTTTTTAGAAGTTCTTGAGTTTCCTTGTAATTTTCATGTGTTTTGGTGTCCGATTCGTGATTCCGGATGTTATTTTGGTATTTGTCTTCTGACTTCCTTTGATGTTACTGCTCCACTGTCCTGTACCATCGTCGTGAGCCGAGAGTCTATCGAAAACAACCTCTCTACTCCCTCAGAATAGTGGTAAGGTCTGCGTACACACTACCCTCCCCAGACCCCACTTGTGGGATTCCTCTGGGTTGTTGTTATTGTTTGATTTTGGCCTTTTAAGATGAATTAAAATTAGAAATTTTTTCTTTTTTTTCAAAATTCTTTTCGAAAACAGTGTTTGTTATCAAAATCTTACAATTTTTTCAATCTCGTTTGAAAATGCATTTTCAAATTTGAACTAGTTTTTCCATTGAAAATGGAAAGGTTGCTAGTTTTTAGTTGCAAAATATGTTGAAAAAGAGACATTCAAATATGTTGCAAAAATTATAACCAAACACAACTTCATTTTCAATTCAAATTTTAGTGAAATTTCATTTTTTTTGGAATTCATGTCCAAACGCCTATTAAGTCGTATTCTACATAATAAATCACACAACGTGACATAACTAAAAATGTTCAACATACATAAAGCCCTTTTCTGTTTGTTTGCATATGTATCCAAAAAATATTTAAAATAGCTTCCTTAAGATAAGATAGAAAAAACTTTTATATATATCTATTTTTATACTATAAGTGGGAATAACCAGGCAGTTCATGGTCAACATATCTGCCTCGCGTAGGGACATTTCTGGAATTTCATACATAATATGCTCTCAAGGGATTGTACGTGCTAGCTTACTGCTTGTACATCTATTCCTATACTATAAGTGAGAATAACCGGGCAGCTCATGGTCAACATGTCTGCCTGCCATAGGGACATTTCTGAAATTTCATACATAATATGCTCTCAAGGGATTGTACGTGCTGGCATACTGCTTGTACACTCTTGATAAGGTGGAAATGTGGGGTCCACCTCAACTTACTGCAGCATTTTAAAACGGCAGTGGGCCCCTCTTCGGTTGTTTCAATGTCACACATTTGGGAAAATTAAAGGAAAGAGTGTTTTGGGACGGCTGCGAAAAAAAGTGTGTGAACTGTAAGGATTTATAAACATCAGCAAGTATGTAAAATTGGTAATCCATGAGTATCATGATAGAAATCTCCTGATCAATGGAGTATTAGAAATATACGAAATTTTTTCCATGGACTAATAACTGGTACTTTAATCTCATAAATTTCACAAAAATAATATACTTTAATTTGATCCGTATTAACTTAAATTGTATAGTTAACATTTGTTCTCATCATTTTAAGGTCTCTAAAGTTCTTTTTTTAAACATAAATTTCTTCCCGTCATTTATTTTTTAAGAATTCCCCCCACCCTATAAAGTAGTTATAGTAGTAGTGGTATAAAATTTCATAATCAATAATTGAAGCTAAAATCATCCAACTTTAGTATATGTGTCTCTATAATCTTATAAAAGAAACATTAAAATTCTTCTTTGAGTAAACTATTTTGTTGAGTAAAATAGAATCTGATTTGACGTAAAATCGAAGAACTAAGAGTCCCTTATTTCACATGTAAATAGTTTTAATTAGGTTATATCCCCTTCCATAAAAAATAAATGTCATTTTATTTAGTTAAATATATTTGGCCAAAATAAATGTTGCTTTGGGAAATTAAAATAACATCGGTTATGTATTTTCAAATCTATTGTCGATCAAAGAGTAATTTGAGTATCTTTTGAAGGTGAACTCGATCTAACTCTACCATACACATCTTTACATCTTTACAGCTTCAATATTTAGGTAATACTGTTATTGGGCCCATGGTCAACATGGGCTATCCCTTACTAGTATATACACACATATACATACATGGAGCGAAAGTTGCTGGTGCTAATGTTGAGAACGTGGAAGGAGTACTCAAAGAAAGAAATGAAAAAGTTTATTTAATGAAAAATATATTTGAAGAAAAAAATAATAATTTGAAAGGCTACCTTTATAATTACATCATGTAATTACACAATTCTTTATTCCCCTTGAGAATTGAAGAATATAATTACTCCATCTCAATTAAATCCAACTCCCTACCCACCAAGGGTTTGTTTGGAAAGCCACCCAATAATTGGAATTGATGTAATTACTAGGGTAGTAATCACACAATTTAATAATTACAATGACTTATTTGTTTATTTTAACGTAATTACAGCATAATTACAAGTATACTGTTTGGTTCCACAAGTGTAATTACACAGTTAGATTAAATTTTAAATGAACTAATTATCAAAACTGAAAAGTTAATATAATAAATATATGCCTATAAATGATATTTTATAAGTATAATTGATATTAGATTTTGTATTTAAGATGCATATTTTTCTTGAATATACATTAGTTAGTAATCATATATTTATAACTAATATTGTAAAAATAGTTGATATATGTTTGCAAAATTAATAATATTTAATTTAATTAATTATAATAACTAAAAGTGCACGTTTTGTAAGAACACCATAGAATGCATGTTTGATAAAATAAATTAATATTTATAAATATAATGTCATAACATTATTTAACTATTTGATAAAACTAATCTATCAATTCTAACTAAAAAATGAACAACATGAAATATAAAATAACAAAATATAACACAATTTCAAAATCCAATAAAAAATAGTAACATATGCCAAATTCCAATATAATAAAAATAAATTCCAATACAACTTAAAATTAGGAAACATAATAAGTTTATAACCTCATTCACCACCGAAATTCTACTTTAAGAACATCACTCATTATATGGTAAGTTTGTTATTGACTCATTATTTATAATATTAAGAGGTGTAGTTCAAAAAATTAAAATAATAACGCAGTTACACAAAATGAAGAAAATAAACAAATAAGTACGGGCAATTACATGAAATCATATAAAGTAAAGGTAGAGAAATAAAAGAAAAATAATGTACAAAGAAAATATATTTTAGAATTAAATAAGAAATTAAAAACTAAAATAAAATAATAAAATAAAAAGTTATAAAGAAAATAAGTTAAAATAAAAACAAAAAGGAAAGAAAATAAAGATTAACCTTGTAATTATATTGTGTAACTTACTTTAGAGAGTGTAATTACACCTATCCAATTATACCTTTACTTGGCCAGATAAATACACCAAACTGTATAATTACACCTACTTACGCCAAAATCCAATTTCTATATGACTTTCCAAATAGGCTCCAAGTAATTTCTTGGTCAAACAAAATATCAAACATTATAATTATAGTTAATTACCCCAAATCCAATTCCCTCTCTCCAAACATGCTCTAAACCATTTAGAAGTTGGTCATTAAAATCTACTCCCTCCGTTCTAATTTATGTGAACCTGTTTGACTGGACACAGAGTTTAAGAAAAAAATGAAGACTTTTGGAATTTGTGGTCCTAAACAAGTCCAAATGGGGCCCAGAGTATTTGTGTGGTTATAAAAACTTCTCATTAAGGGTAGAGTTGTAACTTTAAGCTAAATTGTTACCAAATTTAAAAAGGGTTAATTCTTTTTGGAACGGACCAAAAAGAAAATAGGTTAAAATAAAATGCAACTCTACTAACACAACTACTATATATACATCTCTGTTTTATTCTAATTAACATCCTCAGAAACTTTGTGACCACACGATTTCAATTTCTCTCCTCTACATCGACACAGCTGAATCCCACCCATGGCTGAGAACCCTAATTGCTCTGTTTATGTTGGTATGTCTTTTTTCTCTCTCTCCATATCTATGCCCTATTTTTCATGGTTTTTATTCTTCATGCTCAGATCTAAGTTGCATATTTCTTTTGTTTGATTTCTGAATTTATTTTCCTTTTTAATAAACAAAGCAGCAATTTTTTTTTTTTTTTGATATTTTAGCTGTAAAGTGTCTTTTTTTTGTGGTTATGTTTTCCGATTTGCTTGGTCATGTGTTTACGTTCTGGATTTTGGGGTGGGGAGGTTGGGGGAGGAACAAATTTAAGCTTTATCTTTTTGGGGTTTTAAACTCTGAATGTTTAGCTCAGTTTGGGGATTTACTTCTAATTGTCCTCTATGAATCCTATAATTGCAGATTGGTTATGTTTATGCGTGCAAATAATGTTGATTAAATTATAAAATCTTAGTTTTGGCTTTTCAATGAATTGTTTTGTTTCTGCGGCGTTTAGCTTTGCAATGCTTAAAAAGCGGGAAAACATATTTTACAAAAATGCTTCTTTTTTGTTCGTGAAGCAGTAAGAGTTCAGTTACAATTTTACCCTCCACCAAAGGTTTGTGACTGGGACTTGCTAGGCTACTTAGTTATCACCAATATATTAGTTTGGTTGAATTGTTTACTTAGTTGCATACAAGTTTGGTTAATCTGTGTTTATTAGGATAGCTAATTTTGTTGAGGTTTCTCACATGGAAATCTGTGTTAATCTGTGTTATCTTTGGGAGAGTGCGTTTAACATATGCATTTCTGATTGATAGCAGATTTAGTTTGTGTTTTGTTGTGAATGATTTGCTAACATAGGTTTGAAACTTTTTTGTTGTAGGAAATTTGGACGAGAGAGTAAGCGATCGTGTACTATATGACATTCTAATTCAAGCAGGGCGTGTTGTTGACCTGTACATTCCTCGTGACAAGGAAACTGATAAGCCTAAAGGTTTTGCCTTCGCTAAATATGAGACAGAGGAGATTGCAGGCTATGCTGTGAAGCTTTTCTCTGGTTTAGTGACGCTTTACAATAGAACGTTAAAATTTGCGGTAAGTCCTTGTTATCCGTCCCTTGAGCTGGCTAAAAGGGTCAGTTTTATTGATATCGTTTGGTGAATTTATGTGTTCTGGTATTATAAGCTTCTGTAGCGCTTGCAAACCTAAGGTATGGGTTTACCTCCTCTCCAACAGAACCAGCCTATGCATAGATAATAGATAATCTTGGCAGTGAGATGTTCTTCGGTAGAGATCCTCGGAGTGTCTATTGATGTTGGCTTATGAATTGAGAGATACGCCAGACATATGTTCTTTCAGTTAACACTGCGGGCTGGCAGTTGGAATTTGTGGTTTTGAGGAGGGAAAGTCTACAGAAGCATTTTGATTTGCTTATGTTGTGTATTGACGTTTAATTTTTCTAAACAGATATCTGGGCAAGACAAGCCCTCTAATAACTCATCAATTGCGACACCACCACCTAGCTTAAATATCCCCGCCAGACCAAGGACTCTTCATGTACCTTATAATGATAAGGAAATTTCACCAAATTCTGTGAGATTGTCAACCTCATGCCGATTTTCAGAGCACCAAACTAACTTCACACAAGGTGATGCATGCTTTTTAGTGAAGTCATTATTTTATGCTGTTAGTCCCTTTTTGTTTTTTACTTTATCCTCGTTGAGTCTTGACTTACATGTTTATAATTGTTTTTTCTCTATTCAGTTCCAGTTCCTCCGGGTGTTTCAGTAAACCAATCTAACGGGTATAGATCGCCTTACGATGGATATAGATCACAGTATGATGGCAACAATTATGATTACGGTCGAAGAGTATTTGGGGATGCTTTGGATAGTATAACACGCTCTAGGTTGGGCCGATATGATACCCTTAACCCGACCAGTTATCCTTCTTATTGATGTTTAGCTTAGCTCTTGGTCGTGAGAGAGCTCTGACCTGTCTTCATCTAAGTTGTGTAGGTGTATTGGTACTTTGGGGAGCTTGTGTGAGGTGCTTTAGATTTAGTTTTGTGTCTGTTTGTTGTTCATTGTTGTGGTAGTTTGTCTCTGGTTATGCGCCCGATGTCTGAACTCTTGAATCTATGTGTTATTGTTCTTTAATGCATCTGTATAATATGTATTTCAGTGGCCAGAACTGCATCTTTGTAATTGTCTGTCTGAAAGGTTCAAAGATTTGGATCTTGCTTCTGCTATCTTTCCTCTTTCCTTCACTTACCTGCTCAAGTGCAGCCCCAGCTGTCACCCCTCCTCTTTTCCCTCAAAGATCTGTGGAGATGGACATATTTAGATTTTGCTTATTTGTGATATGTGATTCACTTATTGGTTCTTGGAGATTAAAGTTGCTTCCTATTGGTGTGTGGTATGACGTTATGAGCTTTGGCATGTATGTATGCTGATACTAGAATAGATGTGCTGTAAGAGCAATTTCCTTTGCATCATTGAGGATTTAGCTCCTGAGTTTTAGGAGTGTGAATGTTCATTATCATATGTGAATAGCTGAGGAAACTATGTTCTTTTCCCTATCAGATTTTGTATAGTTCATGAAATTGCAGCCAGGTGTTCATTAAAGTGCTTTTTCTCTTTATGTGAATGAGTTTTGTAAACCCTGGACAATGAGATGGCCAGTGTTATCAAAGGCGAAAAGCGCAAAAAAGCTCTAAGGTCTATTAGGGCTTTAAGCGCAAAGCGCAAATAAAGCGTGGGCTTTAATGAAGAAAGACGCAAATGGAGAAAAATTACAAATATGTATGTGTAGTCCAAGACTAATATCAATAAGCATGAATACCAAATTTAAGGACAAAGAAATTGAAGAAAATCTACGATGAAATAAAATATCAATTGCTTAGTATCGCCTCCTCAGGATTAAGCTCATTGGCAAGGAAAAGTATGCCTTAGAGCCTTGATGACACCAATGAAGCGCCTGCTAAGCGAGGCGAAGCGCTCAACATGTTTTGAGCCTCGCTTTAGGGCTTAAGTGCACCTTTGATAACACTGGAGTTGGCGTGCTTGCGCAGAAGTTTAACTAATAATAATTGGTTACGTACTCCACTGTACGCACAAGTAGTTATATAACATGCATGGATGAGATATTCTAATGTGTTGGTTCAGTTTTTCTACTATTTGGAAATTTTAATATCTTCCTTTTTAGCATTTGTCGAATAATAATTAATCAACTAAACTAGTTGGGGTGTGCAGAAGATAAACCTTGCGCACTTAGAATAAAATTGGATGAGATGAGGATTGCCTAAAGTCCATGTAAGGAGAAAACAATCCATTCCATCAACCTACATGAGATGCTCCAACACCCCATTGACATCATGAGCACGGACAATCGGGGGTTGATACTCTGTTAAAAAGCTGGACTTTGGCTTAACTAAAGTGGGACGCATGAATCTTGGCCTAACTCAATTCTAAAAGTTAACTCTTCTTGGACACTTAAATCCCTCTTGCATGCCATATTGGATAACATAGACCCCAATATTGGATAAATCAAGAATGGGATGCTCGGATATCATATTAAGAAGGATGTACGGCCTAACTTAACCTCAAAGCTAGCTCATGAGGTGAGAATTACGCATGACCATAAATGTGTTAGCCTCTTTCCTCAACTAGTGACGACTCCAACAAGGTATAAGAATCATCTTTATTCATTTGGCTTGTTAGGGATTATCATAATAAAGTTATGTTTATTCTTAATCTCGTTGACAATCTATCACAATGCTCCTTTAACCATTATGAGACTAGCTAAGCAAATCTCATATATGGGTTTCTTGTTTGTTGTATAAATTTGTACTCCCTCTGTTTCAATTTGGATGAGGTAGTTTGACTTGGTACAAAGTTTAAGAAAGAAAAAAGACTTTTGAAACATGTGGTCCTAAAAGCTTATGGGGTAAGAGCTTTGTGGGACCATAATATTTCTGTGGCTATAAAAGCTTCTCATTAAGGGTAAAGGGAGTAAAATGAGAAGTTCAAAGTTAAATTGTTTCTAAATATAGAAATGTGTCATTCTTTTTGGAACGGACTAATAAGGAAAGTGTGTCATTTAAATTGAAACGGAGGGAGTAGTAGACATAGGTAGTAAGGGAGGTTGCATAATAACCCAAAATTTTAAGGCAATAGATGGAGTGTCTGAATACCAATGAAAAAATAGATGGAGAGTCGCAATGTTTTTCCATAAACTCTTCTGGATGTCCTCTTATACAAAAATGTGGGACAACTATATAACTCAAATCCCTCCTACATGTGTAATCTAATTTGGGGTTCACACGTGGATCTTATTGTGGGCTTACAAGTGTGAATGTGTGCTTGCTATAAGTTGACTTTAACATGTGAAAGAAACTGAGAATCCAGCACATTTTTAATACAATTTGTGAAGCAGTGTAATAGCCTGTTTGGCCAAACTTGTATAATCAACTTAGTTTGAGAAGTGCTTTTCAAAAAAGTACTTTTTGTGAGAAGCAGTTTGTGTTTGACAAATTAATTAGAAAAACATTTTTGAACAGTATTTAGTGTTTGGTCACGCTTCTAAAAGTGCTTTTAAATGTGTTTTTTCTCAAAAGTGCCTTTTGGGGAGAATTTACTTTTTTCTGCTTCTCAAAAACTGTTTTTGCTTCTATTCAAAAGCACTTTTTTTCTTCTAAAAGCTTGGCTAAACACTTTTCGCCAAAAAAGCACTTTTCGCCAAAAAGAAGTTTTGGCCAAACACGTTATAAGACATTTCCTCACTTTATGCTCTTTTATGCTAGATGTGGAACAACTATGTAACTGTAAACTAAACTGTTTGTTGAAGGAACTTGGTTTGAAAACTATAATGTCTGATAGCAGTGGTATGAATGAGTTGCATCAATGTGAACCTCCAATATGTTGGTTCAGCTTACTACCTTCTTTCCCCCTTTAGTATTGATGTCTTTTTGAATTATTGGTTTAGGAATATGTTTGTTCCTGTATTTTGAGAATTTGGTGTTCCTGTCTGGTGGCTTAGTACATTTATATGTGGTGAGTGCTATTGATGTGAATTGTTTAGTATGCTTTCATGGAAAACCTTTGGAAAGTAATTATTAAGATGGTGGACATTGCTTACTTTTATTAGCATATACTTGATAGCTGATTATATAGTGATCGAGGAGAATGTGACAGATGAGTCAGCTGTATGTATCCATTTGGAACTATCACGAGTCTGGGTTTTCCATCCTTTTGGAACTATCATGAGTACGCTTGGTCCATCTATTTGGATGTGCTTTTACTACTTTCTTGACATGACTAGAAAGCAGCCCAATNCATATGAGTTTAATTATTTGAATATGGACTTGTTTGTAACTGAAATCATTTTGAGAGTAAGGGAATTTATAGGATCAATATTACTTGAGTTTCCTTCCTTTCTTTTTGTTGTTAGTTTGTATCCATATGAAAATGTGCCCCTGATGAAGTTCCAAATGTGTAAATAGCAAAGGCAGTATCAACAGCCTATGGTGGCTACACAGTGAAGAATTATCTAGTTAAAAGTTGTAGTTGATTTTACTCCAAGAAGTAGATGGAGTGTTCTGGTTAGTATTCTTATTAAGTACTTTGATTCAAATGTTCAACTGGTCTGCTTATTTTAAATTCTGGTATACATGCTGCAGTACGTTTACTTTGTTGATTATGGACCATGTTTGAGTACGTGGTTAAGATGAGATAAACTGTTTCTCTTCTCTTTAATCGGGGCCTGTATCTGTTTTGAAGGTTGGAAACAAAATCTTAGAGATCTTTTCATTGTCCATGTTGTACATTATTCTTAAAGTTGAATTTCCTGTTTACCACCTTTTCCAATCTATTAAGTTCCAGTTTTCTCATGATCACGATTTATAATTCTCTCTACTTGTTTCCCCTCTTGTGAGTACTCGACTTCCTCTGTGCTGCCGGCAAGCGCGCTTGTTCGTTCCAAACCTTGAGGAGCTTAGTAATCCTCTTCTTGTATATGGAACAAATGCTGCTGCTTCACTGTAGGGTCCTCCCGAGGACTATGTTGTTCGTTTCCCCGTTTATGTCAAAAGGATGTGAAGCTAATTGGTTTCTGTTCACTGCATTGCATTTGCCCAACCCACCAATGGGCTAGTGTCTGTCTGCTTTGGATCCATCACCTCTCTAATCTGTCTGATCCAATTATCTGAGGCAGGATTGAAGTGGTGTTGACTTTTTATTTTAACAAGCAGGCAATATTTCTGCAGTTGCCACTTAATATATTCAGAATATATCAGAAATAATCATTTGCTGTATTTATCATCGCGTTAAGCTTGAGGGTGAAATAAGTGATCGTGTTTTCTCAAATTTCGTCCTTTTTCCATCGTTATTTCTGTTATTCCTCCTAATTGCTGATCTTATTGGGGTGTTGTCACTTTTAGAATATTTACATCTGGTAGCCGAAAGTGTATAAAATTTATATAATTTTTGTATATAACATACGGAATATATATATAAATTTAATACATTTTTTCAGCTATTATTTTTCTAGCAGCGATACAGTTCTGATCTTATTTGCCTTAATTCTCAATTGGATCGTGTCTCATGCTTTCTTTCTTAGCTTTGGGAGTACACTTGACTAATTATTTTGGCAGGCTCCGCGTTCTCCTGTCTAATTTTGCTCCTTCATGGTTTCTGTCAACTTTCTTTTGAGGTTGGCCTTTGGTCTCATCATGCTTGTATATGTTCTTAACAATAACAAGTCTAGTAGTTTTTCACAAGTGGGGTTTGTGGAGGTAAGACGTACGTAGCCTTACTCCTACCTTGGAAGTAGGGGTGGCAATTTGAGTTCAAATCCATCCAATCCGCCCAATTACTCCTACCTTGGAAGTAGGGGTGGCAATTTGAGTTCAAATCCATCCAATCCGCCCAATTACTCCTACCTTGGAAGTAGGGGTGGCAATTTGAGTTCAAATCCATCCAATCCGCCCAATTACTCCTACCTTGGAAGTAGGGGTGGCAATTTGAGTTCAAATCCATCCAATCCGCCCAACCTGCCTAGAGATTAATGGATTGTAGTATAAATATTTTAGTTCATGGGTCTATTTGGGTTGAGTCCAAATTAACCCATCATTTTTTATCGCCCATTCTGACCTATGAAGTAACCCAAATACAACCCATGAACCTCATTCAAAATAAAGGGATCTTAACCTAACTTGTTCGGAAATTTACTTAGTTGCCCCATTATTAGTTT